CCAACTCTTGCCCCTGGCGCATCCATGGCGATTTGCCATCAAAACCAGCCCTGTGAGGTGACATAGCTATGAGCCATGCTTCCCCAAACAAATTACGGAGGGTATGTGGTAAACAAGTATAGGTATGGGTCAAAATTTAAGACTCAAGGGACCACTGGACCAGTGCGTCTATTAATTAACATGGATGAAGCAATATTGACAATCAAGAAACCATGGGAAAATGGGGGTACCCGTACCCAATTTTGACCCATACCTATATGATGATCCGATTCTATGTGGTGATTTTGCCGCCTAAGATCCCCGTTTGGGTGAGATATCCCCTGATAAAGGACACATGAAACCACCCATGAACATCGCAATCTCTGACTGCCAGCATACAATTTCCATCTGGGTACACTATCATATTTCACTAACCTGAAATTACCCAGGTACCCATATTAAACACCATTCCAGGGTTCGATCGCAGTAAAGGTCATTATTTTCTCCCTCCACAATGCTGCTGGTTGATATCTCAACTGTCAGTCCACTCCTTGCGGAATGTTAATCAAATCTTGGGGTAACCAGCCACCCCCAATCCAAACACGCTGGAAATTGCTGGATTCACCCATTTAAATAAACAAAATTGGTGGTTAATCATGTGTTGGATGTATCAACAGGGATTGGTAAATGTCCCATTTTGGGGCTATTGGACATCACCTTTGAATGGCAATTATAGATGAGATACCTCATGGTTGGGTGATGTTCAGTGGTGACATTTAATGACCCATGATCAATCCCGATATAAATCCACAGTTTCTACATGAAATTCGCTGGTTGAGCCCATTTGCTGAAATCAGCCATCGATGGCTGCTGCACCTCCAGATCGAGCCAAGCAGGACCGAGCACCTGGCGGGGAAACGGCCGCGTTCGGAGAATCCACTTGGAAAAACATCTAGGAAAACTACTTGGTGGTTGACCTACCCCTCTGAAAAATATATGGTTAATATATGGTTAATATATGGTTACTAATACTCTGGTTGGTGGTTGACCAACCCCTCTGAAAAATATGAGTTCGTCAGTTGGGATTATTATTCCCAATATATGGGAAAATATGGGAAAATAAGAGCCATGTTCCAAGTTCCAAACCACCAACCAGAAAAGATGAGAAGATTGGAACACATCAACAAACTTCTCCAAACACAGATGGGCATCTCGTAAACCAGATTCCTACGGATCATGCGAAAAGGCCGAAACGTGAACTATCCGGGAGCTTGAGTAGTTGAGCCAAAGTGCAGCTCAAACAACTGGGATGATCCGCATGGATACCCATGGAGCAAAGAGAATTTCAAGTTGGACCACTTCCAAGGGGGAAATCACTAAAAAATTGAAAATTAAGCTGACTCTGAAATTCTGAACTGCTATTTCACTTCAGGATGGCTGTAGAATTTCTGATGCCTCCAAGTTTGGAACCCCAACATCCCTTGCTTCAACATCATTTTCCATCTTGGGATTAGGCCCACCAAAAAAAACAACGTGAGATCCAAAAAAAACGCGGCCTTTCCCCACTGCACAAGCTTGGGCTTTGACTTGGCCCTGGGCAGGGAAATGCATGAAAAAGTTGAGGACCCAAATGCTGTGTTTACATGTATATCATCCAAATTTCAGGGGGGTCCTAGAGGGGTGGTACTGTGAACTTACGTCATTCACCAAGCTGAAAATGGCATGCACCATGGGACCTCTCTGACCGGCGAAAACTCACCAGGATCTGGCAGCCCGGAACGAATCCGCTGGGCATTTCCCCATCAGCCAAATGAAACTCTGGAATCGACTAAAAAGAAAATCCTCCTGGAAATTCGTCCCCCATGTCGCACGAGAATTTGTCCGAATTAAACAAGCAGCACTTGGAAATTTGAACGTATCTACCCTAGCCGAAAGATAGATATCAGAAGAAAAATGTAGAAAAATGCCATAAACACATCCATTTCAGGTGATCCTGCTAGTAAATATTGGTATTTGATATTTGTCAAGATGATTTCATGGGATTTCTAGTGTCGTTTTTGACTACCGGAGGGTAGTTAAGTTATGGCGGCTTGACATTCCAAGATCCAGGTAGTCAATGGCCAGCTAAAACCACCAGGCTTTAGATACATCTGGTGTTTTCAAGCTAAACTAAAACAGAAGTCATGGGATCATCCTTGAAATTATATGGTGGAACAATTTTGGTATTCTAAATAAATTATGGTGGAACAATGATTCGGAATAACAATGACAAGAGCTGAAACCAGCAGTTTTCATACCATTCACATATCACATCTGGCCATCGCCATGTCAACCGGAACCTGCAAAAACCGCTTGCCGCCTCGGTAAGGAGCCCGCGGCAAGGTCCAGGAGAACGGGAGCGGAGCCTGGTTTATCATCCAACTGGGCTTTGTTTTGGATATTGGATGATATTGGGACCAACTGGGATAACATCATCTTCCATAATCCACATAGTTATTCTAAGTTCTTGGGATTTATTTTTGTTGTGTAGCCCTACTGATGATTTGAGGATTTCTGAAGTAGCAGCCAAATTTCAACACTTAGCATGCTGACATGTGATGTACCCCTTGAGACCCTCTTGCTGGTAATGATTGAAATCACCTAGCAGTCCGATTAATCAATTTCGGCAAATGATCCAATCATATGTCCAAAACCCGATATGTTGACGATTCTTGGGAGTAGGCATTCAACCAAAGTAAGCATCTTTTCCTATAGGGTTTGGTCGAATAGTGCGGTCGTTCTAATTTTAACGAATGTATAACGAATGTCACAATGAGTACCCTCCGGTAATCAAACATGGCCAATGGATGCCAATGGGAAATCCCCTGAAAGTTGGGATTTAAATGAGAACAACGTCTATAATTAAATTGGGGAACGGCCATGTTTGATTGTCAGAGGGTATCCATGATGACTTACCACTGCTTGTATTGACGTTGTCCCTTCCAGAAGTGCTTGAAAACTATCAACCTGCCATGTTCACTTCTTTTCTGGCCTTCAATTACATAACTTCCACAAGAAAAACATGTTGTTGGAGGAAACACCGAGTGTTTTTCAGCAAAGAATCAGAGTTGCGTGTTTTTGTCTGCGCCACAAATCCCATGAATAATGTGAACATTCCTTTCTTTCATACTACTATTTCCCCTTTCTGGCAACTCCCAAAAAATATCAAAAAATGGAAAAAGTGTAAACAAGGATTCCAGGATGGTACTTCGCTGATGTTTTCCACATCTTTTCCACATCTTTTCCAGCTTTCCCGGCGGTGTTTTCGGCATCTCTTGGGGGAAACCACTTCCAACCTCTCCAGGAAGCGCACCTCCATGATGACGGGGCAGCTGACAGCTTGAGCCAAGGTAAAGATTGATTCATCATTTTTTTTCCCCAGAAAAAAAGATACCCTCTGGTAATTTAACGTAGCTATTGAAAATGACCATTTATAGTGGATTTTCCCATTAAAAATTGTGATTTTCAATAGCTATGTTAGTTTACCAGAGGGTACCCTCTGCTTCATGTGGTTGTTTGTTGTTATTTAAGGGGAGTTCATGGGATTTTCACGGGGAAATCCTATCGTTTTCCTGGTGGATCTGTGGTTTTTGGTGCAATGATCCCAGTGGCACAGCTGGATCATCATGGCAGTGGCATAGTGGCACCGAAATCTAGGATGTTAATATCATCTTGTCATATATCTACCATCTGGTTATGACTAACAGTTCGCCATGGAAAATGGCCCATAGAAATAGATGGTGTACCTATTAAAAATTGTGATTTTCCATGGCTATGTTAAATAAGCAGAGGGTATAGCATTCTATAGCACAAATGATACATACCATCTGGTTATGACTAACAGTTCGCCATGGTGAAAATGGCCCATAGGAATAGATGGTTTACCTGGGTTTACCTATTTAAAATGGTGATTTTCCATGGCTATGTTAAATAACCAGATGGCATATATGTATATATATACCTTGTAAATATATAATTTTATCGTCCTGTTTCTTCTACACATCTCTGTGAATGGAACCATATGGAACCCCTCCAAGGCTGGCCATGTCCCACCCAAGTCGTCACCTTCCTCCGCATTCCTTGAAATGCCTACAGTACTGTAATGAAGTAGTCTCCGAAGTGGCAGTTCAGAAGCGTATCATGGAATGCAATATATGTATATATATGTAATATATAAATAATACGCACACACACACACACATATATATATATATATGCACACATTTACATTCTTTGACAGTTTTGAAATGTGGCAAGATCATGCCATTGGATTGGCTGGCAGACACCAGCACTTCGAACAGACGGTGCCTCAGCTAGCAGCCTGCAAATGTTTTTACACAACGCCGCAAAGTGCAAGCACCAGACGGTCGACTCATAGACTGTAGAACATTAGATCGTCAGCCAGTGGGTCTGGGAGCACATGATTGCTATGCTATGGGCTGCTTGGAATAAAATGGGTCAAGGAAGACAAATAAATCAAACAAATCTGGGCATTTTACATTTCATCACCTTCCACTTCCAAACAAATAGGGCATACGGCAAGCCACCATCAGCACATTCTGGTGTGAAAAGCTGACAATACTCGTTTTCATATAGTTTTTCCATGTTTTCCAAGTGTTCCCTCTGAATGATATGCAGTGATGCAGTACAAACACCTGCGATCATTCTTGAAATGTTGCTAACTTGATCTACCTTATATGGTGAAGCCAAGGAGTGGATTCAGAATGCCTTCGTGCGTGTTCCCAGGCTGACGGATGACCGCCTTGATGCAGTGGAAGGAAGCGAGAGACTACCGCTGCACTGCCAGTCTTCAGGCAATCATTTACGGGTCAGTATTCAGCGCGGCCGAGGGGCCAAGTCCAGAGAACCAAAACCCATTAACAAATAGAATTACACAAACATCAACTAACATCAACTAACATCAACTATGATAGAAACCATGTAGATCTGGGTCTTCGAAAGAAAGAAACCCTACGTTTTGAGCGAACTTGTACTCCCCGGACGATGGATCGGCCCCAGGTCCGGTCCGCCATGCAGTTCGCCATGTTCACTCCTGCCTGGCGCAGAAATCTCATGGACACTTTCCACCAAAGGTGTGAATTTTGGACAAGAACTCACTTTCAAGGAGAGTATGGGTATGTGTCCACAATGTATCCACACATCCTTTGGTTCCAACCTTCAATTTCAGCCAAGAGGCTTTTCCTTTTCCATGTTTTCCTCTTGTTCCGGCTCTTTTTCCTTCTCTTTTTCCTTCTCTTTCTCTTTGTCTCCTTGGATGCAGGAAGTTTTGTCTCTGCGCAGACTGAACAAGCAATTCCCCCATTCCCAGACTGAACAGATATCCGATGCCATCCCGGGTTCTAGGCGTGTGTATATACATAGAGAGAGAGAGAGATGTATACATTACTAATTGTACGTTTAGAGAGAGAGAGATAGATATATATATATATATAGAACGAGATAGATACATACGGGTGTGTGTGTGTGTGCGTGTCTTTATCTATCCATGCTTTAAGTCGGAGGGAGCCTCATGTTGGTAGATGATTGAAACTACGAGCCAGCAAGCTCGTGTACATCCAGTGTGGTCAGCTCGTCATTGGTCTTGTCACGTCAAAAGGTTGAAAGCCTCCCAAAATAAATGGTAAAATTTGCGATGGTTTAGCAGTGAGTCTGCATGAGTTTCTTACATTACCTTATTCATCCTTATTCTTATGTTTGACCTCGGACAACCGTTGGACCGTTGAGCCCAAATCATCAAAGACATCCCTGAACCTTTCGGTCTGCAAACAAAACGATGAAAACAATCACATCTAGACGTCCTAGAAATTGTACGTCGCACATACGGGGAACTATATCATACTATTGAAACTGTATCTAAGTGCCACAATCCAGCAACAATCCGAAGAACAAATGCCTTCGGAAAACCCATTCTTCCCCATGTATTCCATGGCTCAAATCCCCATCACTGTTGGTTAAAACCAGTAGCTGGCCAGGAGATATTCCATAATTGTCATAACCTCAATGGGAATTCCAGGATCGTAAAATTGAGGTACTGTACCATATAAGGCCATATTTTGTGGGGATATATCCTTACATAGCCCTTACATAGGCCTTATATATGGTAGGTACCTCCAATTTAGGTTCCTGAAATGACCATTGATACCGTCATAACTCATAACTGCTGGCAAACTACCAACATATCAGTAATGCCAAAATGAGGATTCGATATATCCAATGAGTATTCCGCTGGTATAGCATCCCCATTTAAATATCCAGTTAATATCCAGTTCTATCACCATAGTTATGAGTGATAAGTAGACCTACTGAGGGGACTTACTAAGCCAGATGAATTTCACTGGAATGATGATTAGGATGAGAGGGGAATCATCTCTGGCTGAACATGTCAGGTATTTTCAGCTTGGTGAATTATTGTGAATCAGGCAATGAATGGGAAAACGGGATAACTCTTAATGCGGATCTTGCAGTAAATGGGGATATGAATGGGGATAGTCGGGATGGTAATGCCAATGGTATTAAATATGTTTGCTTTTGATACATTTATAGAATCTACTGGGAATTTAAATGGGTATAGTTAATGAAATCTATTTTGGTTTTGTCTGAAAATAGGGTACCCCCAAATCCAAACACGACACACCCGTGTTGATAGTAGCCATGAATGACAGGGAATGGACCCATATATATATATATATATATAATCTACCCCGTTATCTTAGAATATCCGTTTTTCCAATTATGCAGTTGAACTCGATCGCAACTCCACTTAGAATATGCCCCCATTTCGTGCTCATTTGTTTTCTCCCCATTTGAACTATCAACATATCACCCATACTGCAGCATAAATGGACATAAATGGATATTTTTCAATTTTTCACCCCACTAATTTTCGTTTGAATTATCAAAATATAACCAATATTGCAGCATAAATGGACATACATGGTCATTTTTCAAATTGTCATCCCACTAAAATCCTTTGAATTATCAACATATCACCCATACTGCAACATAGATGAACATAAATGGTCATGTTTCATTTTTTTCACCCCACTAAAATCCACCAAAACACCATAAAAATCCTTTTTGAAATTGTTCAAGCTCACCTAAAGGTACCCACCTTGACCGGTGTCCGAGAACTATGAGAAAAGAACTATTTTGCAATGAAAACTAATGGAATTAGGTGGCATTCCTTCAAAAATTGATGAATATTTTCACTGGGGAACTATAGTCTATGTATGTAGTTCTGCAAGGAATAGGGTCCCCTTCATGTATAATTATTAAATACGTAATTCCCTTTGGGGAGTAGCAACCCTGGATGTCTGAAGTCCGTAAACTAGAACGTTTCAACAAAAAAACAGGTCCCCCGAAATGATCAATTTCTTTTTATATTGTATTAAAAAAATGAGTTTTTCAAGCTCACCGAAGGGTACCCCCCACGACCGGTGTCGGAGAACTATGAAAAAACTATTTTGCAATGAAACCAATGGAATTAGGTGGCATTCCTTCAAAAATTGATAACTATTTTCACTGGGGACCTATATTCTATGTATGTAGTCCTGCATGGAATAGGGTCCCCTTCATGTATAATTATTAAATACGTAATTCCCTTTGGGGAGCAGCAATCCTGGATGTCTGAAGTTCCTAAACTGAACGTTTCAACAAAAAAACAGGTCCCCCGAAATGATCAATTTCTTTTCATATTGTATAAAAAAATGAGTTTTTCAGGCTCATCGAAGGGTACCCCCCACGACCGGTGTCGTAGAACTATGAAAAAAAATATTTTGCAATGAAAACCAATGGACTTAGGTGGCATTCCTTAAAATTGATGAATATTTTCACTGGGGATCTATTTTCTATGTGTGTAGTTCTGCAAGGCATAGGGTCCCCTTCATGTATTATTATTAAATACGTAATTCCCTTTGGGTAGAAGCAATCCTGGATATCTGAAGTTCCTAAACTAGAACGTTTCAACAAAAAAACAGCTCCCCCGAAATGATCAATTTCTTTTTATATTGTATTTAAAAAAATGAGTTTTTCAAGCTCACCGAAGGGTACCCCCCACGACCGGTGTCGGAGAACTATGAAAAAACTATTTTGCAATGAAAGCCAATGGAATTAGGTGGCATTCCTTCAAAAAATGATGAATATTTTCACTGGGAACCTATATTCTATGTATGTAGTTTTGCAAGGAATAGGGTCCCCTTCATGTATAATTATTTTATACGTAATTCCCTTTGGGTAGAAGCAATCCTGGATATCTGAAGTTCCTAAACTGGAACGTTTCAACAAAAAAACAGGTTCCCCGAAATGATCAATTTCTTTTCATATTGTAACAAAAAAATAAGTTTTTCAAGCTCACCGAAGGGTACCCCCCACGAACGGTGTCGGAGAACTATGAAAAAAAAATAGTTTGCAATGAAAACTAATGGACTTAGGTGGCATTCCTTCAAAAATTGATGAATACTTTTCACTGGGGACCTATATTCTATGTATGTAGTTTTGCAAGCAATAGGGTCCCCTTCATGTATAATTATTATATACGTAATTCCCTTTGGGTAGCAGCAATCCTGGATATCTGAAGTTCCCAAACTGGAACGTTTCAACAAAAAAACAGGTCCCCCGAAATGATCATTTTTTTTCTTATTGACATTGAATTAAAATAATGAGTTTTTCAAGCTCACCGAAGGGTACCCCCCACGAACGGTGTCGGAGAACTATGGAAAAAAAATAGTTTGCAATGAAAACTACTGGAATTAGTTAGTGTTCCCAAAAGAATGGTTAACTATTTTCATTGGGGACCAATATTCTATGTATGTAGTTCTGCAAGGAATGGGGTATCTTCCATGTAAAAGTATAAGGGTATATATCAATATATATCATATACGTAATTCCCTTTGGGGAGCAGCAATCCTGGATGTCTGAAGTTCCTAAACTAGAACGTTTCAACAAAAAAACAGCTCCCCCGAAATGATCAATTTCTTTTCATATTGTATTAAAAAAAATAGTTTTTCAAGCTCACCGAAGGGTACCCCCCACGACCGGTGTCGGAGAACTATGAAAAAAACTAGTTTGCAATGAAAACTAATGGAATTAGGTGGCATTCCTTCAAAAAATGATGAATATTTTCACTGGGGACCTATATTCTATGTATGTAGTTTTGCAAGGAATAGGGTCCCCTTCATGAATAATTATTATATACGTAATTCCCTTTGGGTAGAAGCAATCCTGGATATCTGAAGTTCCTAAACTGGAACGTTTCAACAAAAAACAGATCCCCCGAAATGATCATGTTTATATATATATATATTAAAAAATGAGTTTTTCAAGCTCACCGAAGGGTATCCCCCACGACCGGTGTCGGGATTTATGGAAATGTGAAGGATTTATGGAGAAAATGAAGAAACTCATATGGAAGAAGTGAAGAATTTGACTGAAAAGGGAAAATAATTTATATGGAAAAGAATCTGTATGGCAAAATATGGTAAACTGAAGAATTTGTATGGAAACGTGCAGAATTGTTATAGGAAAGTGAAGAATTTATATGGAAAAATCATGAATTTGTCTGGAAACATGAAAGAAATTATATGGAAAAAATATGGAAAAGTGAAGAATTTGTATAGAAATGTGAAGGATTTATTAAGAAATATATATATATATATTATATACGGAAAAATGATGAATTTGACTGAACAAGTGAAAGAATTTGTATGGCAAAAATATGGAAAAGTGAAGAATTTGTATGGACACGTGAAGGATTTATAAAGAAAAGTGAAGAATTTCTATGGAAAAATGACGAATTCGTCTGGAAAAGTGAAAGAATTTATATGGCCCAACGATATTCTAAGTATAGTTTTTTTGACGTCAACTGTATTCTAAGTAAATGTTTTCAAGTTCAATTATGGGGATGCCCTGGGAAGCCAAAATTTCAATTCTATATTCTATGTGGGCGGGGTACATTATATATATATGACTATTAAATCTATATATTAGCCACTTACGGGGGTTGGTAACTGTCCCATTTTGGGTATATTGGACATCACCTTATAGTACCCATTATAGACCATATACCTAATGGTTGGGTGATGTTCAATGGGGACATTTAATGACCCATGACTTACCAAGTACATCATCCTCCAAATTAATTGCATATTTTTCTGCCACCATTCTTCTTGGTTAAGTCACCAATTTTTTTCTGCGTTCCCAGCATCTATCAAAACATCCCCCAGTTTTACCATAAATGAGTGCCAACAAAACCATCAACAAATACAGTTGGTCAAAATGATTGCTTTCCTAACATAAACCACCCGCATTTTACCAGTATTTTACCACCATTCTAGTTGGTGAAGTATGATTAGGTCACCATTTTTCCAATTTTCCATCTAACCCAAATAAATCACATCGCTTTTTGGTCCACGTGGCTGTCAGCACTTCGCTTCCGGCTGTGGCTCCGCCGTCGCGAACGACTCCGGCGCCGCGACCGCGAGCGACGCGCGCGCGAGCGCGCACGCGAGCGGCGGCCCCCGGTCCCGGTCGCCGCGGTGCCGCGGTCGCCGCGGTCGTGGCCGCGGTCGTGGCCACGGTCGCCACGGTCCTGCGCCGCAAGGTGGGGGCAGGATGGATCAGCTGATGGGAAAAAGTGTACAAAATGAATGAGAAAAACAAAACAACATGTGATTTTATGATATTTTATGTAATTATGTTTTGATTGACATCAGTTCAGTGTGCTACTTGCAACACATGATGGCCACCCACAGTTCCAAAGGTCCTGCCGGGTGTCTCCTCGGTCTCTATCTTTTCCCTGGATCTGGGCTGTCTCAAAATGGGCCCAAACCTACTATGGCGGCTACTGGGGTTCATTGGGAGGACCATAAGCTCGAAAAAGGTATCTATATAATATAATGTAAATGCAAATATAAATGCACATATAAATATAAATATAAACACAATAATACAATACAATATAATACGATATAATACGTATATATAACATATGCACGAGTGTGTAACGTGTGCGTATTTTGATGCCATCATTCCAATGGTTTCCTACGACTTGAGGTACCAAGCTTTGAGGAACCACTCTATCTGTCATGAGACCAGAAGCGATAACCAATTGATACATACGCCTTTCTTTGAAATGTTGCGCCGCTTCTTATTTGTATATATTTTTGTTAATGGTTTATGACCTTCTATCATCATTTTCCTTGTTAAAGTTGCCATATTGGGATACATGGGCATACTCCGCATTGTTGGACAAAGCCAAGCAAAAACTTACAACTTAGCAGATCTTAGCAGCAGCAATAACCAACTTTAGGGGCAACTGCAAGCCACAAGCCACTTGGATCCTATGGATAATTTTGGGTGCAGCGCCACCCAAGCTGGCAACCCCCCATATTTGAATGGTGAAACTGATGGGTAAGATCCATGGGTGTTCCTATCATTTTCCCGAGAAATCCCGAGAAACAGAACGACGACAACAAGAACAAAAAAAAAACAAACCCATGGCAGCTTCACCAATGACTCAATGATTCATCCCGGCCTTACCACCTCCTTTCTCACCTTTGCCCTGTGGACGCTCTGGTGGATCTGGAAGGTTCTCATTGTCAATCAGCGGACGTGCGATCTTGCCTCAATCTGCGCTGCTGGCTCCCCCACCTTGGAGGTCCCATACAGCTCCCCTTTTGGGGCACATTTTGGGCATGGTACATGGATGTAAATTGTGCAACATTCTCAATGTCCAGCAGTGTTACCATCTGATTATTTAACATAGCCATGGAAAATCCCTCATAAACGGAGGTTTTAATGGGAAAAGCCACTATAAATGGGCCATTTTCCATGGCTATGTCAAATTACCAGAGGGTAGTTGTAACTCGGTACTTACCTCACTGCCATTGTTTGTCTGGCTTTCCCGCGCAGAATTGGCATGCCACCTCCCAAAACCTCCTTCATAAATCAATTTTGACAGTCTTGTATATTCAACCTCGCTGGAAAACCCCTCAATTAGATTCCAAGTTATATTGGTTAGAGTACTTAATCATACCATATCCCCATATGTAACTAACTATTCTTATTCTAATATACCATAATATTATTGAACTGCATAACATCCGTTAACATTTGTTGTAGGATGCACTGATGTTGATGTAGAAGAGGAACCTAGCCACCAAGAATACATAAGGAATATCAAAACAACTATATCATAGTTACTGTAATGGTTATATCAACATATTTCAGTTATCATTACCAGTTAATATTAACATACTATGGTTATGATATGGACACATCATATTGATTATAACTGGCAACATTCAGTCTCACATCACGTCCAGGTCACACAGCATCGACGAAGGGTTGGTGCAATTGTCCAGGTGTTTTCGCACTCGCACCTCCGTTCTCACCGGGTGTTATTAAGAGTACCCTCTGGTGAACTAACATAGACCCGGGCAAGCCGGCGGCGGAAGTTTCCCAAACATAAATGACCTATAGTTCGACGCCAGCCTGTCCCGACCGTGTCCTTCCCTCGACAAGCGGCTTTTTTTCAGCGAGAGACGAAGCAAAGTCTTCACACTCCACACTTCGCACTCCACACTTCACACTGCACTCTTCGCACTCGAAACTTCACACTTCACACTCCACACTTCGCACTTGCACACTTCTCACTTTTCGCTGCTGCCTTCACACTCCAAACCTCACACTTCACACTTCACACTGCGCTCTTCGCACTCCAAACTTAAACTTCACACTCCACACTTCACACTCCACACTTCACACTTCACAGTTCACACTTCTCACTTCCCACTGCTTCCTTCTCACTTCGCACTTCACACTCCACACTTCACAGTCCACCCTTCACAGTCCACACTTCACACTCCACACTTCTCACTTCTCACTGCTTCCTTCACACTCCAAACTTCACACTTCACACTTCACACTTCTCACTTCGCACTTCACACTCCACACTTCACAGTCTTCACACTCCACACTTCACACTTCACACTCCACACTTCACACTTCACAGTCCACACTTCACACTTCTCACTTCTCACTGCTGCCTTCACACTCCAAACCTCACACTTCACACTTCGCACTTCACACTCCACACTTCACAGTCCACACTTCACACTTCTCACTTCTCACTGCTGCCTTCACACTCCAAACTTCACACTTCACACTTCTCACTTCGCACTTCACACTTCACAGTCCACACTTCACACTTCTCACTGCTTCCTTCACACTCCAAACTTCACACTTCTCACTTCGCACTTCACAGTCCACACTTCACACTTCTCACTTCTCACTGCTGCCTTCACACTCCAAACCTCACACTTCACACTTCACACTCACTCTTCGCACTCCAAACTTAAACTTCACACTCCACACTTCACACTTCTCACTTCCCACTGCTTCTTTCACACTGTACACTTCACACTGCACTCTTCACACTCCACACTTCACACTGCACTCTTTGCACTCCAAACTTCACACTCCACACTTCACAGTCCACACTTCACACGTCTCACTTCTCACTGCTTCCTTCACACTCCAAACTTCACACTTCACACTTCACACTCCACACTTCACACTGCACTCTTCACACTGCACTCTTCACACTCCACAGTTCATCTCATCTGAGCTCTTTTCACCTTATCCCAGCTCATCTCTTCTCATCTCGTCCCTTCTCATATGTCATCTATTAAGCTTTCATTAATCAATTCCCAGCACTACTACTAATCACGGTCGAACCCTTGATGCACCCACTCCAATACGATTTACGAAGTCCAGTTGCAAAAGACACTAGTATTGCGCATGCAGCCGCGGCACCAAGCAACCTTGACGCAGCCATTACAATGCGATCTGCAGAGACTGAGTTGCAAAACACAATAGAACTACGCGCAACTGGGTCGGAAATTGTAGCTCCAAAACCGGATCTCGACGCCAGAGCGAAAAAAAAACGATTTTGAAGCACTTTTCAAAAGAATTTTTAAAAAGAAAATCACTGGCGCCAAAATGGAGAAAATCTGCTGACAAATCACTGTCGCAGCCTTCATGCAGCCACTCCAATACGATTTACGAAGTCCAGCTGCAAAAGACAATAGTATTACGCATGCAGCCGTGGCAAGAAGCAACCTTGACGCAGCCATTACAATGCGATCTGCAGAGACTGAGTTGCAAAACACAATAGAACTACGCGCAACTGGGTCGGAAATTGTAGCTCCAAAACCGGGTCTCGACGCCAGAGCGAAAAAAAGACGATTTTGAAGCACTTTTTAAAAAGATTTTTAGAAGGAAAATCACTAGCGCCAAAATGGAGAAAATCTGCTGACAAATCACTGTCGCAGCCTTCATGCAGCCACTCCAATACGATTTACGAAGTCCAGCTGCAAAAGACAATAGTATTACGTATGCAGCCAAAGCAGGAAGCAACCTTGCAATCCCATCTACATTGCGGGAAGGATACTACAGTTGCAAATCACAATGGAATTCCATCGGCAACTCATCCACCAGCGCCACTTGCAATCTCATTTACATTGCGGGAACGATCCCACAGTTGCAAATCACAATGGAATTCTGTCGACCGCACATAGACGAAACACAGTTGAAACCCCATTTACAATGCGGAACCGATCCGAGACCGATCCGACCATGATCCGACCATGATCCGACCACACACGAGACCGTCTCGCACCCGTCGCACCGCAGAGGTAGATCATCGAGGTTCGGGGACACACTTTGTATGGAAAAACATAGGGTTTCGTGCATCTGCTATCTCTCAAAAACGCATTTCGTGCGAGACTTCCTTCAAAACTCCATCGGCAACTCATCCGGCAGCACCACTTGCAACCCCATTTACAATGCAGGAACGATCCTACAGTTGCAAATCACAATGGAATTCTGTCGACCACACATGCACGAAAAACAGTTGAAACCCCATTTACAATGCGGAACCGATCCGAGACCGATCCGAGACCAATCCGAGGATGATCCGAGGATGATCCGACCACACACGAGACCGTCTCGCACCCGTCGCACCGCAGAGGTAGATCATCGAGGTTCGGGGACAGACTTTGTATGGAAAAACATAGGGTTTCGTGCATCTGCTATCTCTCAAAAACGCATTTCTTGCGAGACTTCCTTCAAAACTCCATCGGCAACTCATCCGGCAGCACCACTTGCAATCCCATTTGCATTGCGGGAACAATCAATGCCCTAACTAACTCTTTCTTTGACTAACCCTTTCCCTTACGAACTCTTTCTTTGCTAACTCTTTCTTTGACTACCTCATATATCCTGACTAACTCTGTCTTTGACAAACTCTTTCCCTCACTAACTATTTCTTTGACTAACTCTTTCTTTGCCTAACTCTTTCTTTGACTAACTCTTTCTTTGACTAACTGTTTCTTTGACTAACTGTTTCTTTGACTAACTCTTTCTTTGACTAACTCTTTCTTTGACTGACTAACTGTTTCTTTGACTAACTGTTTCTTTGACTAACTCTTTCTTTGACTAACTCTTTCTTTGACTAACTGTTTCTTTGACTAACTGTTTCTTTGACTAACTCTTTCTTTGACTAACTCTTTCCCTGACTAACTGTTTCTTTGACTAATAACTGTTTCGTTGACTAACTCTTTCTTTGACTAACTGTTTCTTTGACTAATAACTGTTTCATTGACTAACTCTTTCTTTGACTAACTCTTTCTTTGACTAACTGTTTCTTTGACTAACTGTTTCTTTGACTAACTCTTTCTTTGACTAACTCTTTCCCTGACTAACTGTTTCTTTGACTAACTCTTTCTTTGACAAACTCTTTCCCTCACTAACTCTTTCTTTGACTAACTCTTTCTTTGACTAACTCTTTCTTTGACGAACTTTTTCCCTCACTAACTCTTTCTTTGACTAACTCTTTCCCTGACATTCTAAAAGTCCGTAACACGGAAGTTTCTCCCACTAAACTTCCTTTGAACATAACTTTGGAAAATCACCATTTTATAGCTGGGTAAATCAACTATTTCGACTGGGCCATTTTCAATAGCTATTATGTTAGTTTACCAGAGGGCAATATGTATAGAAATTTTCTGGCTATGCTGCGATCTATTTTGACATCTAAACCGTGCTCCCAAGGGGTTCCAACCTGGCAACCTGGGTCAGGCGAGTTTTCAACCAGTTCATATCGTATGGGGACATCGTGTCTCTATTAATTCACGCATATATATATATTATCATTATACCTGAATTTCATCTTTTGATCATTTATATACGTATTACATCATACTATATACATTAAAATTTTCAGATGACCTGAAACCAACAAAAGCCACCTTGCGCTTCAGCCGAAGCGGCCAGGATTTGATCCTTGTCCTCCGCGCGTTTTTCGATGATCTCGCGCAGTTTGGACTTGGCATCCTCGTCCAAGCGGTACCTGGAGATTCTCGGATCGCCGGATCGTCATGGGTATTGAAACTACAGGGATTGTAGATTCCTTGTGGGTCATTTTAAGAGCGCGTTCAGTACATAGACAATATTACATATGGCCAGTGCGCATACATTTATGTCGTCTATGTATATCATCTTATCTGATTTGCGATTTCAAACCTAATTTCAAGTAGAAAAAAATGTGCATCCGATGAATTAATAATACCCTCGTCAAAATGGCCATGGCGTAGGTTCTGTGAATGTCTGGATTGGTTTCAGGGAATATCTACAGGAAACCAATGGAAATCATTTTTTTTACCCCATACAAGGTTGCGCCCCCCAGTTTTAAGTTGGTGTATAAACCATCATAGTAAGATATAGTAAGTAGATATATATATATTTATTTACTATAAACCATAGTTATTGGAGTTATAAACCAACTTAGCTAACTATGGGGCACCACCTTGTATAGATGACAAAAAAGAGGTCTCAACCGTAGATTTCCCCACGAATTGAGGCAAATAAACATGATCGAACTACCCTTCCCGAAGGTCTACCCCTAATGATAAGTTTATTAAACCATAAATGGGCTATATAAACCATCCCCAGTCATGATAAGTTTATTCTAGGGTTTTCCATGGTTTCCCCCCATGACTTAGGAAACCTCCCAATTCTTCTCCAAGCCCCTTGAGATCTGGTCACTTTTCCATGACCTGTTCCGCCTCCGTGAGATCTGGAAGCTCGTCCACTTCGCCCTGTGGAGATCACGAAGACAACAAATGATACCCTCTGGTAAGCTAACGTAGCTATCGACGATGGCCTATGGTATAGTTGATTTACCTAGTAAGATGGTGATTTTCCAGTTCGCGATGTTAATTTACCAGAATGTATGAAACAAGTGAACATAGGAACTCAACCAGGAAATATGTTCTTGGATTTTGCAAGAAATCATTGCCAATCTTAGATACCCTGCAAAAATGACAAATTCTTTGCTGGTGAACGTAGATATTCCCTTTGATACCAAAAGACTAGCGGATTCAAGTATCCATCTAAGATTAACCTAGAAATGAAGGATGCTAAGCAACAAAACTGGTGGGTGAACCAAGGAAGATAGTAGATAGCCCACGGAAACAGGGACGGAAACCACCGAGCTTTCCATGGCCGATTGCCATGTCTAAGGGCAACTGGTGGCCCTACCCTTGAGCAAATTGGATAATATTGGAAATCGAGAACAAAGTATTGAATCCTGAAGAATATGTCCTTTTGGAGGTTGATGTATCCCTAGTTGCCAAAAGGCTGGGCAATTTTCACTGCTGCATGGCGTGCATGTCCAGAGTTGGAGATTCCCCCTGGCATACCCTTCGGTCAGATTGTGGTCATCATCACATCCAAAATTCTTCACCCATATCCTATGTAAAAGAACATGACAGGACTGTCAGAACAAAGCTCCAGCCCGATGGCTTTTCTCAAGCACAGATCCAAATTTTTCGGAGGCCTCCAAGAGTTTTCCCACCAAAAGGGTGGCGAGGGCATTGGCTCGCTTGCAATGTCGTAGGTGTTGCTCGATGGTGTTCAGATCCTGTTTGTACTGGAAAATCTACAGGAAAATGGTACATCAATATCCAGCAACAAAAAGGGGATATACTGCGGGTTTTCCCAGAAAACAATTCTGAGAGCCTCAAAAAGAAAAAAGGGAAACACATTTATATGTGGGCTTGATATGAAAGTTATCGAAATCATGTGGGTACCCCTGAATCATCCATTTTTAAAGAATGTTCCATAAAATAAACCATCCATAAATTGGGGTACCCCAAAAATACTGTAACTCTTGAACCCCCTTTTTTATACCTTTCTGAAGTGCCATCCAAATGGTTCCAATCTGCACTTCCATGAAAAAGTGATACCCCGGTGAAATGGTTCGATTGTGTTCGATGTAGCCATAAACATCAATCATCTCAGATCGTTGTGAAATGTTGTGAACCAACTGAGCGTTCACGATAATTTTCGGGCACCGCGGCTTGTACTGTGTTGATTGTGTCCCAAAAATATCCCACCATTTTTTTTGCTCTTGGCAACCTGAAGCTCTCGCTGCGGCCAACGCAAATGTTCGGAATGAATTCAAAATCTCAGCTGTGACAAGCGAAATCAGGACAATATAAATATAATTGTAAATAAACAAATAAATAAATAAAAAACAATTAATAAATAAATAAATACATATATATATATCTATCTACACATACATGTCAGAATACAATGGTTGGTTTACCGGTTTTTGGCAGGTGAAATCCCATTGAATCACCATTAACCCATGGCCGTTGGGGCTGCAGTTATGGTGCCACCTATCCCTCCGAGTCTTTACTGCGAAACCCATAGAGTCATCCCCATAGCATCTCCCGTTTTGAAACCGTTGATTCATAGAGCCCGCAAGCTATAGACATACCTACCACAAACCCATTCTGGTTGGTACCCTCTGGTAATCTAACGCAGCTATTGAAAAGTGCCATTTGTAATTAGTTGATTTACCCATTCAAAATATTTCAACATTGTGATTTTCCCATATTCCCATATTTTTTTGTAAACGTTTAGCAGAGGGTAAATTTCACTCCATTCCCATCCAACCATTTGTCGCTTAAGCTGCTCCGAAGTTGGACACATGTTCTTCTTTAAGTGTTGGGTGCAATTCAGTTAAGTTCAAAAAAAATTACCAGTTGCTTTTCTGACATTTTTGTTGAACTTAACTGAATTGCAACTGGTAATTTTTATTGAACTTAACTGACCAATTTGTTCCCTGCCCTTTTTGGCCTTTTTGGCAACACGTTGCCGGCTACCCCCCGGCCCTCCTTGTGCATGCGATCAATCTCTCCATCCTTCTTCCGCCGGTGGATCAGCTCTGTGAAGCGCGAGGCCACCGGGTCGTCCAAACGAAACTTCCGCGCCAGGCGCTCCACTTCCTGGAGATGGGCGCTGGGGCGCTGGGGAATGGCCGAAGTTCGGAGAAACCATGGATAACCATGGTCTATATATATATATATACCTAGATGACTTAATTTGTCCGACACCAACATGGTGTAGCAATCAACATTGACACTGAAGGATTTCCGCCAGCAACAGCTCCAAACAGCTGGCGGACCTTGTCCGGCTTCACCTTGCCAATGAAGCGGCCGCTTTCCATCTCGCCAATCTTCACCTTGGGATCCCGGAAGAGACGTGTCATGGCCCGAAAAGTTATGCTGATACGAGTGCTAGATCTAGCTACTAGCTATAGGAACATACAGCAACTACTACTAGATATATTACTAGCTTTTCCTAGCTGGTATATATTAAGAATTTACCATTACAGATAGATTATGATGTTAATTATATTCTTAGGTATACCATCACTAACTAATGCCCCTCATCATTTCCCAGTCATAATGCCACGCCACTGTGAGAAGGCCCGTGGGGGACCGCGCGCGCTCTAAGGTCTCCTTAGGATCTGCAAAGGAACATGTGAAAAATTCCGCTATCCGCTATCGTCAGCACGGTGTGAACGGTGAAAAAATTGAATTTAACCCATCAAAAAATTGTTTAAACATTTGGTTTTAACCATCAAACATGGTGAAAAATTGTGATTTGACCATCAAAATTGGGAGTTTATCTATCAAAAATGGGAGAAAAAAGCTGACTTAACCAAAAATGGGGATCTAATGAATGAACACTGGTATATGATCTTAGATATAAGCTTTAAGCTGGCATCTAGTCCATTCTAGTCACATTGTATAGCGTTAAAATATTTAACTATCCCTTCAGGGTTGACCCAGTAACTATATGTTTAAAAAAAAACTGGAATGTAAATAGTTTAAATAATCAAAACAGGAATGTTGATGTTGAACCATTGATACCCATTGATTTTGCATGTGTTGAAAAATGGCAAGCGGATGTTGAACTATTGATTTGGCTAAACCATTGACCCCAAACTGTGGATTTAGCCAACAAACATGAGAGAACAAATTGCGGATATAATGGACAAATACATGCATTTAACCAATTAAAAAAAAAGCATAAAATTAACAATAGATAGGATAGGACAGGATATAATAATATAATATAATATAATACAGTGCATAGAAATACATTGGACATAGAATAGGCACATGCTGGATTAACAACGAACATACACAATTGGCCAAGCCATTGGCGGCCATTGGCATGATCCCAGTCCCAGGGCCCCTGGGGATGCTTTTCCAGGTCTCGTAGAGTTTTTCCAGATCTTCTGCTTTCGTGTCTTGACGCTTCCTGGGCCAAACCATGCGTGACACACCCCAAAACCAAACAAAAATCACCGTGGAACGCAAGTCCCCAGCAGGAAAAACGTTGAAGGAATGCCAGGAATGCGTTGGCTTTCCACCTATCTGAAGAGCTCTGAAATATGTTTAAGTCAACCAACTCAGCTGGGAAATGATGGCAACATGACATTCCGAAGCTGCCATTGACCCGCTTGGCAACAAACCTGGAGAACAAAAAAACAACAGTTCTTCCATATTAGTGTTTCATATTGTTTCATTGGTATTCATTGTTTTTCAATTAGTGTTCGGTGCTTTCACGTGCGTTCGTATCGGCCTCAGATTTTTTTATTCTGAGACATACCCTCTGGTAATTTAACAGTTTGCTATTGAAAATGACCATAGAAATAGTGGATTTTCCCATCAACAATGGTGGATCTTTCCAGTTCGCAAAATGTGAATTTACCAGGCCGGCTGAAATCCCAGTAAATCCCATATTAAACCACCATTTTCCTATGGTTTTTCGATTGTTTTCCCATGGTTTTCCCATTAAACCACCATTTTTCATGGGAAAACTCACCATAAATGGCCATTTTCAATAGCTATTTGTTAGTTCACCAGAGGGTATGCCATAACCGCAGCTAAACCAGGCGTCTTCATGGTCTCATTGAGTCTCTTGATCCATCGATCCTCGATGTTGAAATAATCCTCGTCGCACAGCGGTACCGACGTAACGACGATGACATCGACGGTTGGTACCCGAAAAACCTCCCGGGCAAAAAAGTGGTGGTTTTTCATGGGAAAACCATCGAAAAACCAAAGGAAAATGGTGGTTTCATGGGAAAACCATAGAAAAACCATAGGAAAATGGTGGTTGTTCATGGGATTTACTGGGATTTTACCCTCTGGTTATGTCAACATAGCTATGGAAAATGACCATAGAAATAGTGGATTTACCCATTGAAAATGGTGATTTTCCATAGTTATGTAACAAATTACCAGAGGGTACCCCCCTAATATACCCGAATAGTCTATGAAAATTTGTCAGAAACCCATGGGTTTTGTAGATGTGAAACCATCATTTTTTGGAACCATTTAGAACATCCAACCATGGGGTGTGTGCATTTGTTCCATATTTTCTCGAAGGATGGGATTGTATATACCCACCATCTTCCACTGGACCATCCCGAGTCCGGGCCGTCTCGGGGTCCGACACCAATGAAAATGAGACCCTCTGGTGATCAAACATGGCTGGAAATCCGAGATAGATGAAGGTTTATGACGTTTATAGCTGGGAAATCATCTAGAAATAGCAACATATCCAGCTAACCATGTTTGATTACTAGAGGCTAAGTTCATGTGACGTGTCTCCGCCACAATGTCTTACCCTCAAGATCCGGGCTCAAGCTAGAGCCAGCTGTTGCCATGAACTTATATAAACTTGACATGGATGGAAAACACGAATTTAAGACCCTCGAACCCATCACCTTCTCACTGGCCAAACATGTGCCAACCCAAATGCCACTTTCCACACTCAAACATCTTTTCCCAGATCTTTTTCCATAGGCCAAGATTCGCAGAGTTCCTGCACATCAGGGTCAATGGCATCATCATCATCCGGTTCAAATGTGGGCCTCCCTGGATCTGGCCGGCTCTCGGCCTTGCTACTGGAGCCAGCGCCTGCAGCACCAGCAGCGCCCTGTTTCTGCATCTGCTGCTGCATCTGCTGCATCATCATGAACATCATGGGGTTCATCATAGTGTTCATGCCACCCATCATGCCTGGGAGTCAGAGATGAGAAAAGATGAGCGAATGCAGAAAAAGATGGTTCAAGGAGAGTATTGCCTAAGCACCAATTTCCTGTGGTATAGCAAAGAGTATCATCGCAAAAGGGGGAAAGCGTCATTAGGTCATTCAGGCGTACGATGTTTGCAAGGTGGCACCCCACAGTTATAAGCTGGTTTATCACCCCCATCAAGTGTAGTTATAACATGTTATAACTCAACCATAGTTAACCAAGTTATATAAGTGTGTCAACTTAGCTATCTTGGGAACCCCAACTTGTGGCTGTTAAATACTGCAAGATCTGCAAGATGGGGGCAGCCCCAGGCCTGGCATCCCGCCCATAGGCATGGTGTTGCCAGGCATATTGCCACCCATGCCGCCCATGCACGGCATCATCCCTGGCATACCTGGTGAAGGGATAAGAACTGAGCCGTTTCCTGGAAAACACAACTTTTTAATAGGTATATAAATCATCATGTGTCTCATCAAACTGAATAGGCCATGTTCCATAGCTATGTCGCTATGTTAAATGATGGTATCTGACTTGTAGAAATCCAGTAGTTTCCCTGTCATATTCATCATGATTTCCCATGAGTTTTCCATTGCCAAATCTTGTATGACTTTTATTGTCATGTGTTCTTTCACCATGCGGCAAACTCAACAAGAACCCGAAACTCTTTCAAGGTTTTTGTGAGAACCACCCTGATAGATCTGTCGAATCTGTCATGATTCGTATTGATAATTGACTCCCCTGGAGTTTCACCACTTAGAAACTAGAAATAACACCTCATCCCTAAGTAACATTGGATCTCATATCTCATATTGATAGTTTATAACCCTGAAAAGACATCATCCATTTTTCCTGCCATGGTGTCCCCAGGCCTGGCATGCTGGGCATTCCAGGCATCATCCCCATCCCGCCATTGGGACCGTTGGGCCGCGCGCCGTTCATGCACCCCATGCCCGGGCAGCTTGGGCAGCTGGGGCAGCCAGCCATACCACCTCCGGGAGATGTGAACCCTAACGACCACCATATACCACCATACTGCAGAGGAAATTCCTAGGGGGATCATTTGTTTGTTTGTTTTTGGGGTGTTAGAAGATAAACTAATTGGCATTTCAGTCTGCAATTTGCAAAGTCTTTGTTTCGTAGAATCGGTTTGGAGAATATGATTTTTTTTTGGCCGCACCTGTACAGTCAGTAGGTACTTGTGGGCATGCAAAGAATATCTTTTCAAATGGGAGTTTTTGATGGCTGCCGAAATTTTGGGGAACAGAATCTAACAAGATAAAGTGGATAAAGTAATCTGGGAATGGTTCAAAATCATCAAAACCTAAAATCAATATTCCAAATAAATGAAAATATAGATCAAAATATTAGGGATCAAACATGGATGAAAATAAATGAAAATTGGGCTATCAATATTCTAAATCACCAATTTAGTGCGCCATTGATACTCCAATGATTTGGCCCCTACCCATCTTGGGATATTGGTTGTATGCTGTATCAGTGTACCGAAGGTTGATGTAAACAGTGCCGAGGCACCCATATAGTTGTCCAAACCGCTCAAATGAAATTTCCTAAATATATCTAAAGTTTATCCAAATATGTTCAATATGGATCAATATGGTACAAATTGTTGATATTTTTGGGTGCTCATCTCACACCAATTCCGCTCCGCCTGTCATCGGCATGCCAGGCATTCCAGGCGCGCCCCCGGGTGCTCCGCCAGGCGCTCCGCCAGGCGCTCCGCCAGGCGCTCCGCCGGGCGCCCCGCCGGGCGCCTGCGGCGAACCGCCGCTGGGCACCATCATGGTGCCCACGCGTCAAGACGCGAGCCAAAATGGAGCTGCTGGCACCAGGGTGCTAAGCCAAACATTAAAAGGTCAAATTAAATAGTTCGAAACATGTTCAAAAAACATGCTTGAGAACATGCTTGACATATAGATTGAAATTATGAAAAGTAACCAACTTAAGACTTTACCATGGTTCAAATCTGCAACTGTTCACCTGCCCAACTGCTGCTCACACACTCTTCCACACACGGGGAATTCAGGTGCAGGTGCTGGACAACGGTGGGGCTAGGTTAATTGTGATGATACAAGGTGTTGGATAGCTGTCTTGCTACTTTTCCAAATAATAGAAACGGTCCATCGAATTTCATTTTTGTCCGAACATATGGTGCCTGAGAATTTGATGGTTGATCATCACTTTCCCTTCGGCAAACCTATACCCATCATTCATGAATCAAATCCTAGTCATCATTGTGAGGCCTTCATTTTTGAGTTTAAATAAACCCCCCCACTGTTTGATGGTTAAATCCCATTTTGCTAACCAGATTTGTCACCAGTTTGTTCCGCCCCATTTTTCTCAAAGCGAATCTTTCAGTTTCCTTCCGTAGGCCGTAGCTGTTGCCATCGTCAAGACTGCAATGACACAAACAGCCAGGTGCATCAAAGCCGCCATCACGGCCACCCGAGTGCTTTCGTACCATATCTCCTTGTGGCCCAGAGGCGGCGAATCAGGGGGTCTGGCCAAATGATTCGTATCATTTCATAATATGGTCAAGGCCCCAAAGGCATTGTTGGGTCTATGATTATGAAAATGTCATTGAGCCGGAATTGGGCTCCCTTTCTAGCCATCATCCATGGTGTTGTGCCCAAAATTTTCTGCCATCACCTAAGGTACAGGTTGGCTGATGAAGATTGCAATCCATATGACACCAGCTGGTATAACTTAATCACCAATTTTAACCATAAATCTTGCCTGAAAATTGCTCAGATTGGATTGTCCGAAAATACGGTGCTCTAAAATAGTGGTTTCCCTGTTGCAATGGCAGCTTTGGGACATTCCCCAAAACCATGATAGATCCCCAATTCTTCAATTTTTTGGGTGTTGTTGGGTCAAAGCATTGCTTTACCCAACATGATCCCATCATATCCCATCAATCTATCACAATTTACCATCCTCAATCCATTGTTTGGAAAAACTCATGTCCATGATTCATATATTTGAAGGAAAAAGAGACGTTTTGCATGGTTAATCATGTTGAAATCACCAATTTTATTTTGGCCGCCTTTGAAAGGGGGGCTGGTTGAAACCCAACGCTTCACCCAGCATCTGCTAAGAGCTGACTGGGATGTTCGATCAACGTCACCAGCTGCGGCTTTGCCACATCCACCTCTTCGAGTGGTAGGTGGTACACCGAGGACGCTTGGAGCACGGCCTAGTGGCTGCGCATGGGCATGGCATGGAGAGAATTATTGGCGCATGCTTGGATGTGTGGGGTCCCGGAGAATGGTTTTTTTCCCGGATGCGTAGCAAGGTTCCCGTTTCACTCTGGGGGTCTGGGGTTGAGGCTGTGTTCGCTCGACGCCGCGCAACCGTCCGCAACTGTCTGCAACCGTCCGCGTGAGGGCAGTATACGGCCGTGTTAAGTTCTGCACGAGGGGTCATTTTTGGAGGTTTGAAACGCCGCGTTGCTTCGTTTCGCGTGGCAGGCATGGCACTTCGTGACATTCAGACGTGTGTCGTAACGTGTGGAAAGTCGTTTTTTGCGTGGCAGGTGCAATACTTTTGCGACGTTTTCAGATGCGTTGCAGTTTTCGTGGCAGGCGCAGCACTTTGGACGTGTCCATCGTCATTCTGCGTGGCAGGCGCAGCACTTTAGACGTGTCGTGTTGCGTGTTTTTTGCGACTCGCAGTGTCAGGGCTGCGTGAAGTGGCGACAAGGTGCAAATTTCGTGGCAGGCGTGGCATTTTGTGAGATGTGATGAAACTTGACGGAAGCCTCGCAAACGTCGATTTTGAGGCTACAAAGTATGAAAATTGGAGGAAGTCTCGCACGAAATGCTCGTTTCCACTTTGTGACACTCCAACCTGTTTGGTAACGTGTCTAAAGTCGTTTTGTGTGGCACACGCAATACTTTTGCGTCGTTTTCACAAGATGAGTTGCAGTTTTCGTGGCAGGCGCAGCACTTCAGACGTGTCGCATTGCGTGCTCTAAACTCCAGACTCCGCACTCTACACTGCACACACCACACTCCACCCTTTACACTTCACACTCCACACTTTACATTCCACACTTTACACTCTACACTTTACACTCCACGCTCTACACTCCACGCTCTACACTCCACACTCTACACTCCACACTCCACACTTCACACTCCACACTCTACACTTTACACTCCAACACTGCACACTTCACACTTTACACTCCGCACTACACACTTTACACTCCACACTCCACACTCTACACTTTACACTCCAAACTCCACACTTTACACTCCACACTTTACACTCTACACTTTACACTCTACACTCCACACTTTACACTTTACACTCCTCACTCCACACTTTACACTCCACACTCTACACTTTACACTCCACACTTTACACTCCACACTTTACACTTTACACTGTGCACTCTACACTTCACACTTTACACTCCGGGCTTTGCAGTTGACACTTTGCACTCCACACTCTACGACTCACACTTTCGACTTTACACTTAACACTCCACATGCTACACTTTACACATCTTTACACTACACACTTTACACTTTACACTCCACACTCCGCACTCTACACTCTAAACTCCACACTCTACACTTTACACTCCACGCTCCACACTTTACACTCCACACTCCGCACTCTACACTCTACACTCCACACTCTACACTCCACACTTTACACTCCACACTTTACATTCCACACTTTACACTCTAGACTTTACACTCTACACTTTGCACTCCACACTCTACACTCCACACTCCGCACTCTACACTCCACACTCAACACTCCAAACTCCACACTCCACACTTTACACTCCACACTTTACACTTTACACTCCACACTCCACGCTTTACACTTTACACCCTCCACTTTACACTCTACACTCTACACTTTACACTCCTCCCTCCACACTTTACACTTTACCCTCCTTCTACACTCTTCCGCGTTTCACAGTCTACAGTGCACTGGTACGGTAACAGGGGGAAAATGTAGACTGTTCAAATACCTTGTTTCACAAAAGTGCTCTACGTGACTGCATTCGGGTTCGCGGGCTGCATCTTGTTTAGCCACAAATTCCCACATGGTTGGGGAATGTTAGGGATATGGAACAAGGATTCTATACATATAATATAATATCTATATTATTTGTACATGTGTATATATATATTATATATATTTACATGTACATACATATATATATATATTTATTTATTTAGAGAGAGAGAGAGGGAGAGAGAGAGAGAGAGAGAGTTGTTAATTAATGATCAGTATTGGCAACGGACTTTTGTTTGTCGGTCTCTGGCATCTAGGAATTAGAGCAGGCCATGGCGCCCCAGATGCATGGAATCATATGGAATCAAGGGGGTGTTTTTTATCATCAATTATCCCATGGTATGATAATTACCATCCATCAACTATTCATCATGGACCATAAATTGTTCAATTGGTGAATATCCCTGATGGTTGTACCACGATTAGATAAACGATTATCATCAATGGATGCTCACAACTTGAACGAATTTGTTGCTTGGTTTCTCACCACTTAGTCACTTGTCTCATACAATGACGCAGTAGTTTTGTGCAGGGAAACTGTTGGATATGACCCACCCTTGTTTTGCCATGTGTCATCGTGATGGCCAGGGAAACTGTTGGATATGACCCACCCTTGTTTTGCCATGTGTCATCGTGATGGCCAAACTTAGATCCCCTGCACTTTTTTGTGATTGGTTAGTAATTAATCTAAGAATTCTCCATCTAATATAGCAAAACATGGATATATTATTAGAGTATATATATATCATATCCCCAGATCCAAAGCTCCCCTTTCTCCAGCCTCTACTACAGCAATTCTCGATTAAGATAGAATACACCCTGTGGCATTTTCCCAGCTATAAGCCTCCATTTGGTATGGGGAATTCCCATTGCCAAGCAACCATCCATCCTTTACCAACATTTACCAATTACAAATCCCCATATTTGATGCTTCAAATCCCTATTCGTCATGGTTAAATCACCATTGAGTCAGCATGAATCTGCAAAAATCATCAACCAACATCGCCCACGCCGTGGGACTCTTAAAAAGGTCTCATCCAAATGTTCAGCGATAACTGCGGCGTGCTCCGGTTGAGGTCCGCAGTTAAAGGTCCCTCTCCTCGTGGTGGTGGATCAACAATGATGGGAAAAATCGCACCAACAAGCATGACTACTTGGGGGGTCGCAGTTCCAGTTGTGAGGGCTTATACACTTTCAGCATAGTTTTCGATAGTTATGGGGGCTATATCCAACAGAATCCCATGGCTGTACCCACAAAAGGAAAAACAACGGCAACCACAAGTAACGGGAAAAAGATACCAACCTGTTGAAGCAGAGTTTTTCCAGCAAGATGCCAGGAATGCCTGGTATATTGGCACAGTTCCCAACAGCATCATTTCTTTGGGAGCTGCAGCGGTTTCCAAAAATCTCCAGATTCGTGGCACAAAACATGTAGGATTTCTTTCGGGTTTAGGATATTTCAAGGATGTAGCAAGCTGCCTGGCTCTCGTTGTACAAAACGGCCAATGTGGATTCTTTACTGGGGGTGAGGTGATCGACTTGCCATGCTCCCCAAGTCTGAAGGGAACTTGGTACCAGCTTCAGCTTTGGTGAACTTCCCCATGCTTGATGCTTAAACCCAGTTGAACCAAGTGAAAGACCCAATGTGTTTATATTTTTCTATGGCTAAGCCATGTTAAGCCCAGGTTTCCTAAAATATAGTTGTGAAGAACCAAGTCTCCTGTCACAGCAGTTCTTGCCCACGGCCCAGTAGCGCACAGGCTCACTGGAGCTGCCAGTTAAGCGAATGGGCGCCACGCAGTAGGTGTTGCCTTTGGCTAAGTATCCCAGCGCATGGAAGTCATCCAGCACCGTGCCATCCGAAAACCTCATCCGTGCGGCGCTTATATAAATCTTTTGGGAGAACAAATGGGCCCAGATATTTGGTCGTGTTTGGCATGCAAAACTATATATAACTGTATACACTGTATGTGAATTAAATTATATCCAAGATTTCATATCAACATGTTAAATCATCCAAATTTGGGGGTCCAGCATTTTTTCTGGCAGCGATTCATTATGATTTAGTGGTGAAAAATCACAAACTCCAACTCCAGGCCCAGCACATCCCAGCACGCCAACCGCGCACCTCAAGAAGGAATCCATGGGGAGCTTGCTGGGATCTGAACTAGGGAGGATCAACCTCAAAAGCTCAAGATCTTTGGGAAACTACGGGTCTACAATAGGTCTGCCCGCCTCAAGATCCGAGTTTGAAAAAGTATTCGCTAGTGCCATCTGTTTTTTCAAATCAACGGTGCCCCAAAAGAGCTCAAGAAGAACTTAACTTAAAAAAATGGTTCAAGGTACGTCAACCCCAGCAGCACATATGACTTCTGCCCTTCCACTGGGACATGTGCAAAATACAATACAGTTTGCCCATCTGCGACTCGCTCAGTGGCCGAAATGTCAAATATGGTCATGGAAAAGCTGCAGCAGCAGTCACAAGGGCTAAGGAACTGGTAACTTGAGGCGCGGTAGAGCTGCCAAAACCTTTGCCTCGGCAGAGTTTGCAGTGGATATTGTTGGAGGCTCCACTGGATGCGCGAGGTGGCTGGGCTGAAACTTGGCTTGAGAAGATAAGAAAAGAAGTTCTCTCGATTTTCAAGGTCAAATGTTGAGCAAGACATGCCCTTGCATGTGTTTTTTCCAAATCAATGAGCGCTTTGCTTCATTTTTTCAGACGAAAACGTCCAAATTTCGCGTTAACCGTTTGAGCCATCAAGAGACACATCAAAAACATTCAAAAACATAATCTCAAGTTTGGAAGTCATCAAAAATCATCACAAACTTTCAGGGTGGCCCCAACCAACCAGCCCCCCCAGCTCCCCCAACCAGGTTCCGAGCGGCAGATATTCGGCCTCCAACCAGGTCCCAGCTGCGGCACCGAGGGCGATCGAGGCCAAGCTGAGAAAACCCAGGGAGATGATCATCTCAGCACCAGAAAGGGGTTCCGTGAGCTTGGGTCCGTGGAGTAGGATGCTGCCACCCTCTGGTATATACTTTGAACAGCTCGCTATGGAAAATCCATGAGAATCATAACATAATGCTTCATTACCAGAAGGTGGTTGAAATGTAAACGAAGGAGCAGTACAAGGAGAATCGCCTTTACTCTTCAGCAATGAAATGCAAGGTGCCATTCCCAATCACTGCATCTAGAAATGCACTCACAGTTGCATCCAAGCAATTGTTGGGTTCATCCCGAACTTTAATATACGCATGCATGTGCATGTGTATAATAAACAAATAACAGATAAATGATCAGATGCATACACCGAAATCACATCAGCACGTCGCACACACACACACACCACACATACACGTACAATATAGATAACGATACGCCGATATGGGTAGTAGTGCATATCGTACATCAACAAGCATTCACAGATTTGCATAGATTTGCCACATCCGCCACCACGTTTCATGTGCTATTTCAGATCCCAGACGCTGCATCTCGAACTCGGTGACCAGTCAGCACCGTACAAAGGGCCAGGAGGGTGCAAAGGATCTGCAAAATCCACACCAGCACTGCATGGTCATGGTACAGGCAAATAAAGATCACCAGACTCAGAGCCTAACAGCCCGATTGGATCTGGGGATGAAAGGAGCGATTGAAAAAATTGGTGGATCGCTCAAACTTCCAAACCTCAAGCTATCGTTCAAGCGGGGGCCCGCAAAGAAATGTCATGAAATGTCTAAACCAGCTTGAGAGAGTGCGCAGCCTCACACATATCAGGTCGGAAACTCGGAACTACATGATTGCCAGGCCCCTCTGACAAAAGACCGTCACAGGAAATGACAATCCTGAGGCTCAAAATGATCTACCCCCATATCCAAACATCGGAGGAAAGAAACAAAGACCCATATGATCCATTTGCCCCACCATTCCACGTCGTCATACCATGGCCTTGCACCTTTCACCCAAGTTCTGCCTAGCTGCGAAAGCCGCCCAAGGGACAAGAATTGCTGTGACCATGTCGCACAACGTCATCCTCACCTCTGGTCGAACTGAGCTCATGCCGAAGACGTCCTGAAGGTACTGTTGTTGAGTGAAGGCTGGTTCCGCGCTAAACCTCAGCCTTCAAACATGAAAAAAACATCGATTGTTTTTGTTCATTTGGTATTCTTCAAAGAATTCAGATTTCCACATACTTTCCAAAGCTGGATCCAAATATTCCCATTGAATTCACCAGACAATCCCATCTTTCAGGGGCCACCCTGCCCTAAGGTAGGCCTACCTGGTCATCCTCGGACATCCAGACTGGTGCATCATCTGAACTGACATCGGCCAGTTCGGCGGTGGGAAGACCCACCAGAGTGCCTGGAGCGTCCAGAAAAGCGTGGAAAATGGTGGCAAAAAATGAAAGAATGTGCGACTAAAACTAGCAACCAGCGCGGAATAATAGATTGAACAAGTAGTGAATATCATTGAATATCTGCATCTTCCAAAATGTACCGGACAAGAAAAAACTTGATCGAAACCAATTTCCCCGAGTGAGTTCTTTAGCCGGCCCGTTGTCCTCGTCACTGGCTAGTCAGTTTCAAGCGGAATGCTTCTGATCCCCCCACGAGACAATTTTTGTGTATCTCCAGCAGAGCTGGTGCCAAGTTTCAGGTATACAACCCTTTCTTGATGCATTTTTATAACATTAAACAACTGCTTATACCCTCTGGTAAACTAACATAGCTATGGAAAATCACCATTTTTAATAGGTAAACCATCTATAAATGGGTCATTTTCCATGGCTATGTTAAATAACCAGATGGTAATCTAAGCTGGCAGTTCCGACCCCTGTGATGGATGATTTTGCCACAGATCTTCCCTTGCCATGTTTCAGTACAGCTACTGTCTGGAGAGGACAGCGGCTTCCGCCTCTCCTCCTGTGGTCCGGTCGAAGCACCTGTGGTGAGGGTAAAGCCGCACCATGCCGCACCAGCCCCACTCCAGGGTGGTGCAAAGCCAGTAGCCAATAGTGAGCCATCCCAACTACATGCAACTTTATTGAGGAGAATCATGAACCACACCTTCATACCGTAATATGGTTGCGATGTACCCCTAAGAATTGAGCTGATGAGTGGGTTCGAGTGGGTTGCTCACATTGATTCCCAAGATTGGACAAAGGAATGCAAAGGACACATATAATATAGGACACATGCACGCTGTTCGGAACAATCCTGTTAGAAGAAACCGCACCATAACTGCTGTATGGTGCCAAAAATGAAAACGTATGGAAAGCACTACAACTCTATGTGGCATTCCATTGATCTGCTGTGGGGACCAAACAAAAAGGATCTGATGGAGAAAAAGGGATCGGCGGTGTGCCAACAGCAAAAAAAAGTGGCAACCCTTCACATCGACATCTTGAAACCTTGCCTTCTAGTGGGGGGTGAGCCCCCCCATCTAGCCAAGAACTTCCATCGAAATCGGGAACAAAGGCAGGACTTATCCTCATCAGGAATCAGGCCTGCTTCATAAACAAACAAAACTCAATTGCGGATGGATCCGCAAGCAAACATCTATGATGTGAGAAATCTCTGTGCGTGTGTGCGCCTCAGTATGAGGACAGTCCCCCTGACTCCATTGGTTAATCATCATTTGGACTCTTGAAATGTTTTTTTCGGATGGCATGCCCCATTTAAGAAACATACAAACCCAATGCCTGCGCCGTCTATCTGCCATTTGTCGTTGTAGATCATTGCAATCCATGGCTAAGCGCAGTGGATGCCTGAAATCATTTGGACCCAAACATACCCAAACTATATTGACTAATACCGCGAAACTGCAGCAACATTGGACTGCATGCTGCCAAAAATGGGATAGTTGCCAAAAATGGGATAGTTGCCAAACATGTATCAGTGAACTCCCTTTGTGTCCGTCGCTAAGTTTTTATAGTTTGAACTGTGTTTTCTGCTGCGCCTAAGAGCAGGGCGGTTGACACCAACACGCAAAAGCTGATACAAAACCCCAAGTGAAGCTATCAAGTCCAAGTCTGAGCAAGTCTTCGCCATGCTGTGCATGATGGTCTGGTTGGTGGTTTCAACATGTTTCAACTCTCTGAAAAATGATGGAGTTCGTCAGTTGGGATGATGACATTCCCAACTGACTGGAAAAATAATGTTCCAAACCACCAACCAACGGTCAAGTAGTTGGGTACCCAACAATTGCATAACGAACATCCCACCGGACCAACATCTTCGACGGTAGAGTAGAGCATCAAGAATACAGCCTCTAGAGCCAGCAACTTTCAACATACAGCTACATGTCAAATGAGATGCTGCCAAGACAAACAATGTTCGACACAAAGAGATGGGAGGTGAAATGAAGAAACAGGACGGAAACAAAACATGTCAAAACCTTCATGTTTCATCATCTTCGCAGGCTCCAGGTGGCAACCGTACACGATGATTCCATGTTGATCCCATCGTTCACCCTTAAAGTTGGTCGGCTTGCCCACTTTTCAGCTAGGCATGTTCACAGGAGATGCTCCGGTCTTTGGAGCTATAGGTGACCTTAAATGCTGCACCAGGTTTGCCCTCAACCTCAGCTGGGAGATGGGGAGAGTTTTACCGGAACTTGGGATCCTCTAAAAACAAAACAACTGTGGACAACGAAAACATGAAATCTGATTATAGATGTAGAAGTATAGAAATGTTGACATGTTTTCTCCCTCTTGTTGCGCTAATGTTGAAAAATAATGTTTAATGTTTCCAAAATAAAGTCATGCTTCTACAAATAGAACAAGTCATCTTCCAAAAGGTCAATTTGTCAATCCTTTCCACTTGATCTGGACCAAAAGAAAACACCAGCCTCAGCGGCCAGTTGGAGATGATTCTCCCAATCCTAACCATCGTTTAATGGATGATCAAATGCTTGACAAACCCCGCCAAAATCATCAACATAGCCGAAGGAAGTTTAGAAATCAAACTTCCGACAATATGGACAGATGAAAAGCAGAGATGGGCAGAGTCACAGAAGAGAAGAGAAGGAGAAAGAGAAAGTCCCAGAAGAAAGAAGATCCGGGCGCGCAAAAAGGTAGGAAAGTCGCGAAACATTGTTCAGCAACACCAAAACGTGGGTTAGATCTGCAGTGGTCTGGATTGGCAATGAAAAAGTGCACGCCATTGTGGCGCGAAGCACGTTTCGAAGTCAAAATGTACAAAACACACCAAGTCCGGACCACTTTTGGACGTTCAGATGTCGTTTCGCGTGGCAGGCGCAGGGGATTGTGCACCTTTTCAAAAGTGAGCAAAACGTGAGGGTTTTGTAGCATTTCCAAAAACGATGGCAGGCGTGGGACGCTCGAAGAGGATCTGCAAAGATGCATATCGCGTGGCAGGCGCAGTACAAAAGACATGTTCATCAGAGATGTTAGGAGGTCAAGGCGCTGATTTCCTGAGACGGGTTGCATTTTGGAGCATCAGATCTGTAGGTTTGCTAAGATGATTTTGCGTGACAGGTGCAGCACTTCGTATGACCTGGCATCAATTTTTCGTGGCAGGCGCTGTACTTTAGACAGGTGGAGTGGAAAAATTGCAAAACGCATTGGTACGAGGCCGTCAGCGCTGCACTCAACTTGTTATTTTTGAAACAAGTCTCGCAGACTTGCTTTGTTTTTGATGTTGTCAAGTTCAAAAATTGAAGAAGTCTCGCAGAATTGCTTCGTTTTGGATGTTGTCAAGTTCCAAAAATGAAGAAGTCTCGCAGAATTGTTTCGTTTTTGACGTTGTTAAGTTCAAAAATTGAGGAAGTCTCGAAGAATTGCTTCGTTTTTGACGTTGTCAAATCTCGCAGAATTGCTTCGTTTTTGACGTTGCCGCTGCCAAGTTCAAACATTCAGGAAGTCTCATAGAATTGCTCCGTTTTTGATGTTGTCAAGTTCAAAACCTGAGGACGTCTCGCAGAATAGTTTCGCTTTCAAGCTTGCAGATAGACAGGTAGATAGATAGATAGACAGACAGACAGACAGAGAGATAGAGAGATAGATAGATAGGTAGATAGGTAGATAGATAGGTAGATGGGGAGATAGATAGATACATAGTTAGATAGACAGATGAGATAGATTGATAGCTAGATAGATAGATCGATAGACAGACAGTCAGACAGACAGACAGACAAACAGACAGACAGATAGATAGATAGGTAGCTAGGTAGCTAGGTAGCTAGGTAGCTAGGTAGCTAGGTAGCTAGGTAGCTAGGTAGCTAGGTAGCTAGGTAGCTAGATAGATGAGAAGAGAAAGAGAGAAAGAAAGAGAGAAAGAGAGAAAGAGAGAAAGAGAGAAAGAGAGAAAGAGAGGAAGAGAGAAAGAGAGAAAGAGAGGAAGAGAGAGAAAGAGAGGAAGAGAGGAGACCTCAACCACCTGTCGGTCCATCAGTGGCTTCGCTCTGCCATCCGTGATTCACAACAACCAATCTCTCCTATAGGTTTCCTATTTTTGAAACTTCCGCCACCGCCTTGTGCGGTACTACTGGTATTGTGATTAACCTGCCTATATATATATATATTATATACTCTATGAATGGCCCTTATATTATTAAGCGTTCATGTATAAACAAAAATTGTTTACCCCAGCATTCATGTATAAAGAAAATGTGTTTAGCCCCAAAAGATGGCTTTCTGAAATGCCATCTTAACTAATTATATGAACTATATCAGACTATATCTATGATACTAACATCACTAACATCATCCAATATTTGACATCTATATCTACATGGCTGCCGAGGCGCTGCCCAATTTCGACCGTGCCCCGGAGTCTCGGGCGAGCTCATCTCCGCACGGCTGGGGCGACCGGGCCTGGATCACCGACTGGGGGGTCTGGCCATGGCCAGTGAAAACGGACAAAAAATGCCCAAAAAATATGGAAATCTCAATGGGTTTCAAACATGTTCAAACCACTTGCAGTATTGAAATGTGGTGACAGATGCCGTTTGATCTTATGTACATCCAAAAAAAAATGTGGATTTTGCCGGATCCAGGTGCCACGTTGGTGGCACATCCGGCCTGAGCAACACCACGGTCTCCTCCGTACCCCCTGCTGGAAACAGTCTTTTGTCCCAACCTCGGGGAAAATGGTGGGAAAAAGGACGGAAAACCATGGGACATAATGGAGGTTTCCCCATGGGTAGCCTCAAAACCATGGGTTTCAACACCGAAATGGTCGATGATTTGGATGATTTTTGGTGGTAACCCCATGACTTTGGAAACCCCCTTTTTCTGTGATTGCAACTATATGGCTATATGATTTGCCATGGTATCACATATGGATACATATATATAATATACGGTGCAAACGCTCCCTGGGTTGACAACCGTGGCTGCAAGACGGTGCAAAGGGAAAAACAAAAAAAATACCATGTGATATTAAGTGGGGTGCACATTACCGGACATGTGAGATTTTGATGGATTTTGAAATGCCTCAGAAACATTATAGAAACACAGCCACTGCCCAGAAAATGACAAATCTTGTTGAACATTTGTATATTATAGTTGCGTCATGTTGCGTCAAAAATGCAGTCCTGTGAATATTGTCAGCAGAAAAACTGTGAAATGAAGCAAGGCTGACGACCTTTTCTCTCACTCAAATACTTCACATGGCGTCAACTAACGAATCGGCACGGCTTCTACACGCTGCCAACCCTTTGTGCAACGCTCGGATCTGCTTCGTTGCAATATCCTGCCGGTCGGCGGTATTGGCGATAGAACCTTGCAAGACGTCCAGTAAAACTTAGAATCACCCAACCTTGGGCCCACTGCTTCAAGGCAAAGACCAACGAATCCTGGAGTGTGGGAAGACATACACAATTTGAGCCCACAGTAAGAAAGAATCCACTCAGAGTATCTCGCAGAGTTTCTCTCCAGGTTCGGACTCTTGGCAATTTTCATTTCTTGATTTGGAGCTGCGAGATGATGAAAAGGATCGGCGGCGCATCCTGAGAGAAAAGCTTTGAAGCCCACCTGCCAGGACAAGGAACATGAACGTCCAGTGCACGAATGCCCGACGGGCGATTCTCAGATCCCAAATGCAAAAACCATCCTCTCATTGCCTTCGACCCGTGCGTAATTGACAAATTGCTTTCGAATCCGAAAAACCTGTCAAAGAACACGCGCACAAAGAAAACCGATTTTATCGCCAACACATATCAACAAGAACGCCCCGAGCATCCCCGAGCCAGGATTGGAGACTTAAATCCACTTTGATGTTGGGCCGCCAGCAGGGCTAATGAGGCCAGCAAACCAACTTTCGCATCTCCCGCACGCACTGTGCGGGGGTCGGGTTACTCGTCGGGCTCAGGGGGCGACGCTTGGCTGGTCATGATCCACAAGGATCCAGCAGTAGTTACTGCAGTCTGCGCAGCATGGTCCAAAGCTGAGAAAGGCCTTTTATCGCACATGTGCTGGCCGCGCTGGCAGTTCAGCCCGTGCCCCAGGACTTTCCACAGCAACTGTGAAGGTTTCCCCGACCGTATCAAAGCTAGGGTTCGTTCCGTCACAAGATGTCTGCACAGCTATGTCTGTTCGGCCCATGCGGGCAGCTTCACCAACCATTCTGCCAGATTCACAGGCATCAGAAACAATCAAAAGGTGTTGGGCTGTTCCATGTTCTTTGGCAAAATCCCACTGCTCCAGAATTTCATCAAGCCCGAAGGACTTGCCATTAGACAATTTCCAAGAACCAGCACGCCCGTGGAAGATTCCGTACAGAATGTGTACATCGCGCTTGCTCGAAAAGAAATCCTTCATGTTTTCTTTTGCTCGGTCAAACGTTAACCTCCCACCATAAACACATTCGGCCGCCACATTTACCCTTCGAAAGAACTTGCTCAACTTCTCTGCGTTGTACCTGGCGCCTGGGAGTGGTTCCTCAACGTGGACTTTACAAGATAGCACCAGGGCCTGCATTTGGTGTGTCATGACTTTGTGACACAAACTACGATTTTAGTCTTGAGTCTTGAGCAAGATATGTCACTGGGATTACTGGGCATTTGAAGTACGGCGTCGCAAACATCCAAATAACGTCAGATCAAAACAATGAGCATCGCGAGTTTCAAAGAAGATAAAGAAGTGGCCTTTGAAACAAGTTCCAAGAGGCCCCTTGCCCATGGAGGATTCCAAACAGAATATGTATATTATATACCAAACAAATTCAATCACGAAGCAAATGCTTCCATACCTCCGTATTCTCCTGAAAAAATAATGAGGCCCAAAACAGTTTGCCGACATATCGAGGGTCAGCCTGCGACCCGTGAATTCACTGGATCACATCCTCGCCACCTTTGAATCTTCTAGATGAGGAATGATCAAACAAGTCAAGAAGTCGAAATCTACAAAGCACACAATCATAATCAATCATATGATAAGAGTAGACATATATATATAGTATATAATAATCATATATAATATATAATAATCATATAAAATATATAATAATCATATATGATAATCATTATATACTATATATATATATACATACTACATCGTATATATGCACAAAAGATCATTGGGCCTGTGTCTCCCAAGACTCGCAGCCTCAAAAACACCCGAGCGACTTCCATCTTCCAAGATCTGGAACCTTGGATGCGAAAGAGCCTTCTTGAACTGTGGTGCATGTACCTAGGCAGCCATAAGTATGCATAATTTATGTAGAATAGAATATAGAATAGAATATAGAATAGAATATAGAATAGAATATAGAATAGAATATAGAATAGAATATAGAATAGAATGTAGAATAGAATATAGAATAGAATATAGAATAGAATAGAAATAGGATAGGATAGGATACTGTAGATAGATAGATAGATAGATAGATAGATAGATAGATAGATAGATAGATAGATAGATAGATAGATAGATAGATAGATAGATAGATAGATAGATATTGATAGATAATAGATAGATAGATAGATAGATAGATAGATAGATAGATAGATAGATAGATAGATAGATAGATAGATAGATAGATAGATAGATAGATTAGATAGATAGATAGATAGATAGATAGATAGATAGATGGATGATAGATAGATAGATAGATAGATAGATAGATAGATAGATAGATAGATAGATAGATAGATAGATAGATAGATAGATAGATAGATAGATAGATAGATAGATAGATAGATAGATAGATAGATAGATAGATAGATAGATAGATAGATAGATAGATAGATAGATAGATAGATATTCTCTATATATATATATGTGTGTGTGTGTATATGTAATCAGATTTTTACTTGGCATCTGCCCCAAGATGTCCATTTATACCCATCTTTGTCCGCCAATCTTCCCTTTTGTTGTCTGTAACATCCCCCCAGCCCGGCCCATCAAAAACAGATCCAGTTACCGCAGAAATGGCAGGAAAGATCAACAAGAATCTCCAAACCTCTAATCTGCAATTTCAAAAACATTCACAAACGATTAGTTGCCTTCATTTTCCCCTCTGGTAATTTAACATAGCCATGGAAAATCACCATTTATAATAGGTAAACCATCTATACATGGGCAATTTTCAATAGCTATGTTAGTTTACCAGAGGGTAAGTCGAAAATTCGAAACATTTCCAGTGGGAAAGCCATCAAAAAAACTCCGTTCTGCCCAGGTGCTCCTCGCGTTGAACGCCCTTGCGGCTGCCCATGGGCGCACCGTTGCGGATACTCAGCCGCCAACCTGGGTCACGTTAGGAGCCACGGGGGAAAGTGAGCATCTGCATGTACGCATATATATATATATATATATGTATGTATGTATATATATATAGTGAAAAGATACACATGTATCTCATATGCAAATATATAATAATATATATATCCAATGTATAGCATATATGTATAATATATTAATGTATATCTAGACTTAGACGCAGACATGTGTGTGCGTGTGTGTCATGTATAAACATATGTTTTTCGCATATGCAAAAAACATAGTCAGTCACATGATGCAAAATGTATAATTTCTTCACTTCCTAAATATATGGACATAGTGAAAATGCTGGTTCTATGTCCAGGTTAAACGGTTAGGCTACAATTTCGAAACGCGACCTGGATTTCTGGGGCTGTCGCCGGGGAAGCTGGCACTGCACCAGTGATCTACGTATTCAACATGCGAGCTGAACGCCGTTTCCAGCTACGAGTAGATAAATATACGATGCACACCATAAATTTAATCACACGTGCACGTACACACACACACAAACATACATATATATATATATACATATAAAATATATATATACATATATATATATATACATATAATATATATATATATACATACATATAATATATATATATATAATGACTTGTGGGTGTTCCAGCCGCCTTGTGACTCACTGGCATGCTACCAAATGATTGCTATCTTGGCTGGTCCAAAGGAATCAGCAGCTGACTGGGTGGTTGAAATGAATCCGAAAGACCACGAAAGACCCAACTATCTCCCGGTATCTATACATTGTCATACTGTCATGCTCAGAAAAAAAGGGGTGAAAAATGGATTTCCCATACCCTCTGGTAAATTAACATAGACCCTGGCAGATAGGGTTTGGAAGACTAGTTTCCATTAAAAATTTGTGATTTTCAGGGTCAACAAGTTTATTTACCAGATGGTATATTTCTATCATTTTCTGACATTAAATTTTATGATTTCTACAAATTTCCCATAATTTATGGATTTCGACATGTGTTTTTCCCGCAAAAAAAAATGGATGAACCATAAAAAATATGTTGGGATCATCCTGGGATTCTTCACGGTCCAGGCCAAGCGGCTGCCACCCTGCATGGGCTCGTTCTCAGCCTGAGAAAATGGGCTCGTTGTAACCGTCAAGGGATATGGGATATCACTGATATCACCATAGAATGGCCATTTTCTATGGGGATGTACCATGATGTAGCCTCCAAAACTCCTTTTTTGGCCATATCTGGCCATATCTGGCCATGAAAAATTCAGGGCCAGGCATCCCAGTCATTGAAGAAACCCACCAAGTTGAAGCCACCCTGCGCCGTGGGATCTTCCAAGGCCCCAGGCATTGATTTCAGGGCCCCCAAGGTTCTACGCAGACACACTGCGCTGTGGCAATGTTTGTACACATATACAGATATACAAATGTGTATAAAAAGTGTATAAATATATGCATATGAATATATATATATATACATATAATTATATTTTAATTATATCATTATATATACGTGTGTGTGTGTGTTGTCAATGCACGAACTAGATTCAACTATGTAGATCTAACTAGCTACTCTCTGGTCGTATCCTTTCCTGGTTCAGTGGGGGCTCCCCCGCCTCCACAGCCGCTGCCACAGCCTCAACGGCCTCAGCCTCCGCAGCCTCTCCCAGGGTTTCGGCTTCAGCTTCCGGCTCGGTGGGCCTGGCGCGAATCAGTCACCATAGGTACAGGACCTATAGCCATCTATTCAAGTTGCGTTCTTGGAGACATTCACTATATGGTATCTGTTTGAAATATGTATCTACACTGAATGTCATGTGTAGATTCTGTATAGTATAAACACAGTGGATGGTAACCATATACATTTCAGTACCTAAAGTCTACGCAGAAATTTACCCAGTATAGACTAGTGATTTTTGATGATTTTTGTTGTGTTTAAGATACTCACTTATGATAAACTCAGATAGATGTCATTCATGTTCCATTTTCGACTGTCCAATTGGATTGCCACAAAGTAGTGCACATGGTATCACTTATTTGAGAGATGTGACCTCATATTCATAGTGGAGATTTTGTTTCCAGGATGGTCCTGGCAGAACGTCTTTGTTTTTAACCAAACCAGATCACAAGCGACAGTGTTTAACCTGCTGAGCCGTCGCATCTTTCGTGCGCGAACTCTTTGTCGGATCTGATCACTTCAACGCTTGAAGCGGAAGCAGCCGCAGTTCCCTATTTGGGTTTGTCCAAAATAGGGCGTCCAAAAATCACCAATGGTTTATCATTCTTCTTACTTGGATCATAAATAACAAACCCCCCCTCCCCAGACCCCCCCCCAAATATATAACCCTGAAATAACATGGAAATAAGAAAATAACCTGGAAATAACCTGCAAATAACCTGGAAATAAAAATAACCTGGAAATAACCTGGAAATAACCCTTAATTAAGGGTTATTTCCAGACTACAGTCTTTATATCTTTTCCCATCAGATCATGTTGACGCTGTCAGCTCAGTCAGCAGGTTTTATTTCAGGTTGTCATACTGTTTGCATCTTTCCCAATCATGTTGATGTTGACACCGTTAGTCAGTGAAATGGCTCAGCATGGCGAACTAGTTTCCCTTCCCATTTGAAGAGGGTGGCAGGACGGAACAAGAAATCAACAGAATCTACCATTTTTGTTTGCAACATGCATATTATATGTTGTGGGCTGTTGGCCGTGAATGCGGTCCGAATCTTCCACAACGAAAAGTAAAACACTTGTGATATTTTTTTTGTGGGATATCACCATCAGTGCCATTGAAAGAACTGACCAACAAATCTAAACCAGTTGTTAAGAAGTGTGATCTTTAATGAACAATCCCAACACAACAGCGACTGAGCAATCACCTCTTGTAGCCTGAACGGAATATTTTTTGCTGACTTCATTCTACATAAGATTCTCTGTTTTTTGCCACGTATATCTAGACACTTGCTATTCCTGCATGTCCTTTTCCATTCGCTTTAAAAAAAAAATAGACTACTTACAGGGTTATTTCCAAAATCTAATTTTTCCCTGTATTTTTCCATGGTTTTCACCTTATTTCCACCTTAATTCCAGGTTATTTCCATGTTATTTCGATGGATATTTCCAAAATCTCACTTTTTCCTGTGTTTTTCCATGGGTTTTCACCTTATTTCCACCTTATTTCCACCTTATTTCCAGGTTATTTCCAGGTTGTTTCCAAAATCTCACTTTTTCCTGTGTTTTTCCATGGTTTTCACCTTATTTCCACCTTATTTCCAGGTTATTTCCAAGTTATTGCCAGGTTATTTCCAAAATCTCACTTTTTCCTATGTTTTTCCATGGTTTTCACTATTTCCACCTTATTTCCACCTTATGTCCACCTTATTTCCAGGTTATTTCCAGGTTATTTCCAAGTTATTTCCGGGTTATTTCCAAAATCTCACTTTTCCCTGTGTTTTTCCATGGTTTTCACTATTTCCACCTTATTTCCACCTTATTTCCAGGTTATTTCCAGGTTATTTCCAAGTTATTTCCGGGTTATTTCCAACATCTCACTTTTCCGTGCGTTTTTCCATGGTTTTCACTATTTCCACCTTATTTCCACCTTATTTCCAAGTTATTTCCAGGTTATTTCCAGGTTATTTCCATGTTATTTCCAGGATATTTTCAAAATCTCACTTGTTCCTGTGTTTTCCATGGTTTTCACCTTATTTCCACCTTATTTCCACCTTATTTCCACCTTATTTCCAGGTTATTTCCAGGTTGTTTCCAAAATCTCACTTTTTCCTGTGTGTTCCATGGTTTTCACCTTATTTCCACCTTATTTCCACCTTATTTCCAGGTTATTTCCAGGTTGTTTCCAAAATCTCACTTTTTCCTGTGTTTTTCCATTGTTTTCACCTTATTTCCACCTTATTTCCAGGTTATTTCCAAGTTATTTCCAGGTTATTTCCAAAATCTCACTTTTTCCTGTGTTTTTCCATGGTTTTCACTATTTCCACCTTATTTCCACCTTATTTCCAAGTTATTTCCAGGTTATTTCCAGATTATTTCCCGGATATTTCCAAAATCTCACTTTTTCCTGTGTTTTTCCATGGTTTTCACCTTATTTCCACCTTATTTCCACCTTATTTCCAGGTTATTTCCAGGTTGTTTCCAAAATCTCACTTTTTCCTGTGTTTTTCCATGGTTTTCACCTTATTTCCACCTTATTTCCACCTTATTTCCACCTTATTTCCATGTTATTTCCAGGTTATTTCCAGGTTGTTTCCAAAATCTCACTTTTTCCTGTGTTTTTCCATGGTTTTCACCTTATTTCCACCTTATTTCCAGGTTATTTCCAAAATCTCACTTTTTCCTGTGTTTTTCCATGTTTTTCACCTTATTTCCACCTTATGTCCACCTTTT